ATAATACACCTAATAAGGAATAGATCTAGAGGGGGTGCTGCAGTGTGGTTGCACTTCCCTCCCCCCCGTCTTAATTTGACTGTGAGCTTTTGGTGCAGGGTCTGCCCAGAGGCCTTGCTTTCACACAGCTCTAGAGCCCAAAAGACCCCTCCTTCCCCTATTGCCGAGTTCAGTGGGGGAAGAAAAAGGAGGGGAAATCCAGCAGCAGTGCTCATCCCCTGGACTCCAGAGCCATGTAAAAGCAGTGTCTCTGCCCAGACCCTGCCGTGATCAGCTGGTGAGCTCAGACCTTGCTGTTCTTGTGGAGGTCTGTCCAAAGCTGGCACTGACCAAGCCATGCACTGTGTATGTGTGGCACAGACAAAATGTGTGTGGGGGAGGGGGGAAGGAGGTTGTACTCCTTTGCCCCATTGCTGGGTATTACCACACCTAACCGAATAACAATCAGGAGGAAGAGGCAGAAGACATTTCTTCTTGACACCAGTTGATCACAATGTCATCTACTGAAACACAAGAATTATTAGTCTTGGAGGTGTAATGCCACTCAGGGTGTCTGCACTGTGACTGTCAACTAGGCAGGGTGAGTACTGCTAGGAGGGGAGATGCACCAACATGTAGTTAGGCATGGCTTGCAAACAATGCCCCCAAAGTAGGCTAAATATTTATGGTTAACTCCCACTGAGGTCTGTGCTGTCACAGCTGGCCTGCTAGCAGTACCCAAGTTATCTAGTTCGGCAGTCATTCCAGTCCATCTGTTCTGATGCTGACGCTATGTGAAATGCAAACATCGAGTATGCAGCTCATTACCTTATCACTCATGTAATCCAGGCACAGGCATGCTAGGTTGGCTCTTTATTTAATACAATATGGTCCATGCCTTATGTCATAGGGTTGTGAGGTAGTGCCAAGAATGCTACCAAGGGAAACCCACCCTATTGATTGGCTACCCTTCCCCTAAGTGGCAGAACCTGCAGATGCATTACTGCAGTTCAGCCCTTAGTTACACCTGTGCAACTTCTCTGGCTAAAACAGGCCTCTAAAAGCAGAGTGGCACTCCCTGCCCCCCATGCAAACTTTGTGGGCTTTGACTTTTAACCATTAGTGAGCCATCTATGTGATTCACAAGGCAACAGGGTTAGAATACCCCTTGGCTGATATGTATGAGCAGCATGCTGCTGAGACAGTGTGCCCAACTGCTGCCTTGTTCATTCATGGTACAATTCTGCTGCCATAACTGAAGTGACCCTGAGAGGATCTGGGCTCAGCTAGTTTATACCCTGCAGCCCTAACACCTGCTAAAGTGCTAATTGCATTCAGAAAGCAGTTCCTTGATCTGAAAGGTAATTTCCTTGACAAGGGGTGCTAAACAATGTGGCCATCTCCTTAATTTACAGCCATCAAAAAGAATGAAGAAGTGCAACACTTAAAATGAGTCAGAGGCCTAACAATGCAAAAAGCAGCTCAGTGGAATTATAAAAGTCCCTTAGGTATTAGTTTTATTGGCTCAAGGTCAATTTGTATAGGAGCCAGAAGTTTGGGGAACCCAGTTTTACAAAATAAAAGACCTGATTTTCAGGCAAATGTATTTAGCACCCAACTAAAGTTAAGGGGAGCTGTCAGTACTAAGGACACATTTAAAGTCAGGTCTTTGGTGTATCAAGTGAGGCACTTAATACAGGAGGCCAGCTGAAAAGTGCTGACTTGAGTCAACAAGACTATTTATATGGGTTCTACAGAGCCCCAAAATGAACCAGAATATCTTCCTGTCTGTTTGTGGGATGTTTTTTCCAAGATTTTCTTGCAGCAGAATGCTACTTGTGGAGTTAATACAACATGGGACCTGGCTTTGTGGAATTTCTAGTATCAAGTAAGAGAAATACCTTGTGGAATCTGGTTCCTTAAATAACTCTTTTAGGGCATGGAAAAAGTGTGAAAACATAGATATAATTGAAGTTAAGGCTAGATGATCCTCCCCACTATCAAACCACTTCACTAATTATGGGTGTGTTTTATGCATGCAGATTTTTTCATTTCTTACCTAAACATTAGTGTCCATTACTGTGCTAAGAAAAAGGATGCTTTCTGTATAGAATCTATTCCCGTAAGTCTTCTGATCAGTATTCTAGTCCCTGGTTTGCATATGGGTTTGGCTCCTATTTTCTGCTCTGAAAAGCTGTTTCTCTCTATATTCTTGGTTGCCTCTGGTTAGCCAAGAGGAGGTGTTCCAAGATGCATGTCTAACCTTGCATGTGGCTGCTAAACTACTGGAGTTACTGGCTAAGGAATGTGAGGATGCTGCTTCAGCATGCTGGAGTAAAATAGCTTCTTCTGCGCAGCCACATGCACAGCAGTAATACTTAGCTTGATGTTTTCCCAGACATGTACAGATGGAGTGGTGTGTTGTGTATGTAGCCTCTGGGCAGTCCTGTCTGCGCTCTAACATAAGCATGCTTTGACCTACATGGTCAAGCAATCTGTGCCCCCCTAGCAGCTGTCTCTTACCACAAACTGAAGGAATATTTCATCATCATCATCTAGGAACTCATCATAGAAGCAGCTCAGGATCTGATGAGAAAACAAGGAGATGCATTGTTAGCCGGTGTCTCTGTTGGTAGTGGTTGGAGCCCTTGGCTTTAGGCTGTCAAGGAGGAGCTTTACAGCAATAGGTGCATTGTGCTGGGACAAGTGCAAAGGCTATGCTGCATAGGTGTAGGGTACTCTGGGCAGCAGCAGAGCATGCTGCCCTATCCATGAACCTCAACCCTGCCCTGGACATGCAGTGGCTAGGGATGAAAGGGAATGCGTGCTCAACTGAGACCACTAACAAAAGGTTCAGTTCCAGAGGTGGTTTTTCTAACGCAAACTGGGTTAAGCCCTTCAACTCATGCGTCACGCTGGCTGCCTAAGGACTACTGGCTTATAACAACTTTTGGTCACAAACCTCTGTCAGAATGAAAGCAGTAGCCTGGATGTGAACAGATCCTTAGCTCAGCCTCCCAAGCTTCCCACCCTGCCTCATGTGGAGTGAAAGAGAAAGTTGGAGAAAACAGATTATAATTGTCTTCAGCTCAGAGCAATGTCCCTACTAAAGCTTCATGGCACCCCGGGGTAATTCTGCTTACCTGATTCTTGCAGCTCCAGTTACCCTCCTTCTTCCCTACCTTTGAATTTAGGTACTAAGCCTTTAAAAAGGCTTTATGTTGCACCCATGAAATCCACTTTTGGATCAGTTAATGGGTAGCTTCTCATTTAGGTACCCATGTTATGTGCACTAATTTCCATTTACTGATGTAAAAGCAGGCTTGTCATGCTTGCCAGCTATGTGTGCAGGTAAAATAGACAAAATGTAGGTGCTAACCTTTGGAAATTTGGCCTCCTATCCACTTGTGATTTATTCCACATCCACTTGGGAGTTTCTGTTTTAGAATCTGATGTCCTAAAGTATGCCTTCCAGGGTCATAAACTTTAGCTACTGCAGTTGCACATGTGCATGGTACATAGGAGAGGTTCCACCAGATACCCCAGCACTTGGATTTGCAGTGTTACAAATTAGGATTATATATTTGTCACACCTATCACGTAGGGAGTGCCAGTTACTCTTCTCAATACCAGCATCACAGTCAGCATTTCCTACCTTGCAAATTTCTTCCTGTGCTTTCAATATCCAGGGAATGACTTTTCCAGAAGGCAGAAGGTCATGCAAGTTCCTGAGAGTTTTCAGCTCCAGGGGAAGTTTCTGGTTGTTTTCTGTCAAGTAGGTCTCAGATATCCTTGCACTCAACAAGTGCCGCAGGAGGAAGCTTCCTCCTTTGCTGGAACTCAGCACTACATTCAGAAAGTCCTCCAGATCGTGCCACAGATCCAAGAGATGGGTCTCCACTGTATGATTCCTGCGCTTCAAGAACTCCCTGAAGGGGCATCCTGCACAGCTGTCAGCATTAAGTACCCAGTGCAGGAGATCTAAAGAGGGAGAGGACTTGAGTATCTTTTTCAGGGCTAGCAGTGATGGCAGCTGGACAATGGGTGTGGAAGCATGTATTTCAAATAGGGGTTTCTTTTTGCTGAGCTCTTCCACTTGAAGAGGCAACTGGGATTTGGGGCTGGGACTTTTGGAAGTGGCCTCTTCTCCTCCTGTCTCACTAATGCTCTTTTCAGGAGGTTGTAACTGCTGAGACTCCTTTCTTGAGACATCATCCTTAGTCAGCAGTTCCTCTGTGTCTGTTAAGCCACTTGCACTCTTAGTTGGCCTTGGTGTTTCCTCTGGCTGCAACCCACAACTTGTAGGTTTTCCTGTTTCTTCAGCTCTTTTCCCAGAAATTATGAGATTCCAGATCTCCTCCTTGGCTTTTCTACTGCAGTAGAGTTCCGACGTGTCCCGGCTCTTCCGTATGCTCATTGTGGGAGCTGGAGACACTAGCTTCTCCCACAAGCCCACCCATAACAAATGGTCTTGATACTCCTGCAGTAGTGGCTGGCATTCTTTCTCCTTCTCTATGCACAGTTTGCAATGAATGAAAAAGTTAGGAAGCCAGTAACTTTGAACTTTAAACAGGGCCAATTTCTGCATCTCACTCAGGATCTCTCTCCTGGTACTTGTGTGTTGAAGGTGCCAGTCGGAGATCTTCGACAGAGACTCTGAAAAGGACATGAGGAATTATAGATGGACAGTATGGGCTTGCGCCATAAACCAGGAGAGTCAGTAGTGATCTTAGATCAGACTTTGCAAAAGCTTCCAGCAGGATCACTGTGGGGGGGGAAAATGAGCACACGGAGCAGGTGAGAGGTGATATAAAAAGTGAAAAGTGGCTTCCCTGTGAGAGAGAACTTTGTAGAGAGACAACTTTGTAGGGCTAAAAAATAACCACATATCTTGTTTCCACTATATCTTAAGCTGTTCCTACAGAGACTTGTTGCTGCACCTTCAAATCTACATCCCTAGTTCCAAGTTAACTTTAAGACTTAAAAAAAAAAAAAAAATACTAAATTGAGACTTTACATGCAAAAAGTATCCAATATACAGAAGAGCAGTAAGTAATAGATCCAGAATAGAATTTGGTGTTTACAGCAACAAGAAACTGATTTCAAACAGGAGCCGACATCACCGCTTAACTTTGTAGACTGCTTTTTTCATTCCTAGATCTCAAAGTGCTTCACACAGGAATGTAAGGGGCCCCTGCCCCATAATTTTCCACATGGGGTAAGTCAGTCACAGAGTAAATCAGTGGCAGTCGGGAACAGAACACAAGCCGGCTAATTCCTAGTCCTGAGCTCTGGGCTAGGGACAGACATTCAAAAAGTCCAAGCCTGAAGTGATTCAATCTTTGCAGGTTAGTTTAACCTGTGCAGATTGAACTGATTTGCAAGTAGATAGACATTCAATTTTGATTCAGAAACTGCAGTGGCTCAGGCCAGAAGCTGGGGGGGGGG